TGTACAAGTGAATAAGTGATTTGGTATTAAGAAAATATTGTTTTTTTATTATTCAAGTTTCTAAAGCATTAACTTTATTATTTAAAATTTAATTTGGTAAAATAAATGGCTTTCAAAATGTAGGTTTATAACTTTTCAGATTAACTGGAACATTCAGTTCTCAGAAAAATCAATTAAAACTGTTCTAACGAACTCAACATTTTCGAATTAAGTTTCTCAATGCTCTTTTATCGTTCTGCTTTCGTCATCTGTTTCACACAATAATTATTATCAACCATAAAAAAACCAGTTTGATTTCTAATCCCGATCATCGCCGTCTATTGAACTTAATTGAAATTAATTTCGAGCGTTTTCAAGAGCAAATTACTTTTTTGCTGGATCTTTGGCATTCTTTCATAGTGAGTGAGTTTTTTGTTCCCAGCTGTTGGTAATGCGATGTGGATTGTCAACCAGAGCGTAACTTGCTGTGACACGCAAATTTTAAGTTTGCTTTTTTCTCCCCAGATTCCAGTTGTATATATGTATACTGACATTTTTTATAGTCCACTCTGTGATATGCAGAGCTATAAATCGAATTCATGAGGCGATAAGGTCTTCGAAAGTATTTTAGTTTGAACTTGAAATATTTATAACACATTTGGGCTCTTTTTCCTCTTTTTTCGGCAAGGCCATAAAAGTTAAATGGCAGTCGTTATAATAGATTTTTGGGGCTGCTGCATGTGAGAAAATCGAAATGTAAACTTCGGGAAAAAGTTTCTGGCTGAGTTTGCATTTATGATGGCTTCATTTGCATATGGAGCATCTTCGAGTGTCAAGGAGATGGATATTTTTGCATACAGCATGCAAATACTGAAAGTGCGTTGCACAACTATAGGAAAAGCATGAAATAAATTCAAACTTTTAGAGATAAAGTATGGCAATATTTGCATTAAATTACACATTAAAGCAGCAAACAACATTCTATGGGAATTCACTTTCCTTTGCTGTTCTTTATTTAAATCTCCCAACAAACACGGCTTAACCCATTCGTAACCCCAGACGAAAGCGGAAAACTTTGGCAACAAAAGAGAAAGTTTAATTTTAAACTCTATTTTGAGAAGCTGCGGGAATTCCAAATGGTTAACCAAAGTAATTAACGCACAAAAAGAAAGAAGACCAACAAAAAAGGCGAAAACTAATCAATCGGTTATGTAACCAACACCCCGTTGCTAACAATTAAATTAAATTAAATGTGTGATTGACTTGTGTGCAAGTTTTTTTGTGGTTTTGTGATTTATTTTCCTTTCAAAAACATTTGCTGCTCTCGTTTTGAGCCGGGCGTGAGATGGCAGAAAACTTGGATATGGTTTTATGAATGAAATGTCATTGAATGGCAAAGCTGGAGAAGAAAGATGTAAGCCATCGATCGGTTGGCTCTCAAAACGGATGGTAATGGCAAACTTTATAGGAGTACAGTGGGGTAAAAATGGGTTTAAGTGATTTCGCAAATAAAAATATTATTTCATTGCCAACATAATGGACGTAAGTTTAAGACAAAAATAGTTTTCACTACCTTTTATGAATATTTTACCAGGAATGTTCCTCATTTGGCACATTTACCCACTTCATTTTCCAACGATTTTTAACTTTAATCCGCGAAACCTACTACAATCTATTTAAAAAAACCAAGTACTTGAAGATTTATTTGTTATTATCAGTAAGCCAACAAGAATCCATCTATTGATAATGCTAAATTTTTGAACACTCAGCAGATCAGGCAAACAAGCTTAATCTTATCTTATAAAGTTAACAGTTTAGTAAAAAGTTTGTCGCTTTAATTAAGCTTGTTCAAAAATAGCTTAATAATTAAATGGGATTCGGGCAGTGGACAGCTTATCAAAAGTGGGAAACACTACTAAAAAATAAAATTATCAAAAAACCAATGACCAAGAGTGCTGTGAGTGAGTGGACTGTGGCTGCATTTCCTGCATTTTATGCGCAGAGCAAGAAAGGAAAATAAATCAAGTTTACATGAAAAATTATTTCGATGTGGTTGCAAAAAGAAGATGATTGCTATGGGGGCTCCAAGGGGGAAGGCGAGGACCACAAGTGGCTGGAACTCCGCTTTTGACCATGATGGTGATGGCGATGATGATGACGTCGAAGCGAGAGCCTGTGAAATTGTATGCGAGTATTTCCACCATAATCGGCTTCATTTGTACAGATTTACGTTTCAATTTTTAAACACTCTGCTTTTCTGCTGCCTTTTCCATAATTACATTCTTTATCAATTTAAAAATCATCGTAAGGGATCAAAAGTGTAATTAAGTGAGGTTTATTGAATTGGTTTTTACTTTTTTAATGTTGTACTATATTTAAAGTTTACTAAAAATGCCTATAGTATATTTTTTATTTTCATTTTGATTGATTTTAATCATTTTTAGTCTGTTGTTATTATTTAAAGATATAGGACAATATAAAATTGATAATCCTATTTAAATTTTTCTTTGATAGCGAATCACGAAATCGGTTCACTAAACCCAATTTCCATTTTTCCATCAGTCTCAAAAAGCTTTTAAAAATAATTTCAAATTTGTTTGTGTCATTTTTAATATTGGCTTTTAAAAAATGTTTCTGCCCAGTAGCTACGCTTTTTTAATTCATAAAAAATGTGGCAGACAACAGAAAGGCTATGAATGCAAGAACATCTCTCAAAGTGGTCGATAAATTTAAAGGTTTTTTTGCTTAACACATTTAAAACATTATAAAAAGTGCTGCAAGGTACTTTTTTGCCCCCCACTCTTGCTTTGTTTTATTTATTTTATTGAGTCGATGCGCTAACAAAATAAAGTAAAAAAAAGTATATTTGAAATTGCAGAAATAAATTGACATTTCGCTTCATGTGAGGGTGAATTTCTTTCGTGTTGTATGTATTTTCCCTGCAGAAAACACAAACGAAATTTGTCGTCGCTCTTACTGGTTGGATAAATAAGTAAACAAAAGAAACCAAATTCAATTGAAGAACTCGTGTGTTGGAGACAAATACAATTTACAACCACATAATTGGGTAAGTATAAATTCCTGGTTTAGTCGAATAAATGGAACAAAATAAACTTGATAGAAATTAAAATAGTTTTTTAATGAAATATTTTAAGATAAAATTCTACAACTAAAATGTATTTATAGTCGGCTGATCCATGACCCAAATGCTGTGTTCAACTTTATGTAAAGGGGTTTTGCACATAAAGATAATTTTAATTGGTGAACTTTATGACTCACAAAAATAGTCTCTTCTTTTCGGCACTAAAAAACGCAACTTCTGATAAGAATACCCTCGCAAATGTATCTCTTTTTGCAACCCAAAACTGTCACAATTTCCCTAATAAATAACCCCAAAATGCTAGCGGTAAGTATGCGAGTTTTGTTATATGACTGCCAATTGACGGGCCAAAAAAACATAATTAAAACTTGTAAAGTAAGCGACAAAAATACAGGTGGGCTAATTACCAGGTGGGTGAGAGGGTGCGAAAGAGGAAAAGAGAAAACAATGGGTTATCAACTTGGTGGCAGGCTATATACGGTAGCAATCCAATAATTACTATGCAGGGCGGCATACGCAACGGACCTCTGCGATGCCATCATCATCGAGGTGTACGTTGAAAAAGATAAAAGATAATGATGATTCAGACGGAAGAGGAAGAAGCACTACTGAAGGGTGGATCCGCTTTTAAGTTGGACTGCTCGTTTTTGGACGGTTTTTCATGATCCGAAAAGTAAGCTCAAAAAGTGCTAGCTATTTACTACGATAATGTAAAGAGAAAAGGGTAAAAGAACTTTTGTCAGAAAAAAAGAAAAATGAAAGTGAAACAGTAGAGATGGAAGATAAGAATAAACGAGATAAGGAGCCCATACAAATTAAAAGATTAAAATATATGGGAATTATTAAAGATACCCAATTGGAAAATATAGAAACAATTCTAAGAAAACTATTTTATCTTCAATATTGTTTAAGATACCTAATTGAAAAATTTGAAAAAAATTCTAGGAAAGGTGTTTTATCTTTTAATGGTTAATTAGCGAATATCAGATATGAAGTATTATACTGTGTTTATACGATGCCGAATTCGCGCTATCATTTCACGCTTTCGTCCGATTCGTGCTTGTATAAACGCCATTTCGTGAATTCGGCAACACACGAAAGTTGACTATGATTTCAGCCCAAAAGCGTGATTTGGTGATAAGCAATCTGGTAACTCTGTAAAAAACGATCGACGTTGCCAGATCGCTAGAAATTGATGGCCTTTTATAGGCTATTTCTCTAATCAGTGGTATTAAAAATTAGATATTTTAACCGGTCCGGCATCCCTATCAGCTGAGAGTGAATAAAAGCATGAATTCTCGGCTGTCGTATAAACAGGGGTTATTTCTAGATCGCGCTTTTAAGAAATCGTGATTGCCATCGTATAAACATAGTATTACTGTGTTTATACGATGCCGAATTCACGCTTTCATTTCACGCTTTCGGCCGATTCGTGCTTGTATAAACGCCATTTCGTGAATTCGGCAACACACGAAAGTTGAGTATGATTTCAGCCCAAAAGCGTGATTTGGTGATATGCAATCTGGTAACTCTGTAAAAAATGAGCGACGTTGCCAGATCGCTAGAAATTGATGGCCCTTTATAGGCTATTTCTCTAATCAGTGGTATTAAAAATTAGATATTTTTACCGGTCCGGCATCCCTATCAGCTGAGAGTGAATAAAAGCATGAATTCTCGTCTGTCGTATAAACAGCGGCTATTTCTATTTCGCGCTTTCAAGAAATCGCGATTGCTATCGTATAAACATAGTATATAGCTATAAATATAGCTATACAGACAATTACAAATCCCCTAAAGTAAAAATCCTTAAAAACGATCTTTCCCAATTTAAATAATATAGGGTACTTAGTTCCTCACAGTTGAGTTGTTCACCAAAAAATTTCACCAGACTTTGTAGTAGTAGTTTACTTCGAAAACGTACCTTTTCCGTACTGGACTGGAAGTAGTAGACCATCACGAACATCCAAATGATGCTCACGAAGACGATCAATTTAATGTTGCGACGCATTTTGGACAGCTTCTATTTGTATATATATGTTTAACTCCTAATTGGGTTGAGGACGTATCACGTTCACTTCGATATTTATTTATTTACTTTTTGGTGTGGTTGTTTTGGCAAATGAATTATGCGGTTTTTTCACTGGAGGCAAAACAAAAGCATGGACATTAGTGTAAACAATATATATATATTTCTAATTTTCGTATCTGTTTCAATTGTGTTTTCCTTCTATTTTTTTCTTTGCACTATTTTCAATCATTTCCATCTTCACTCGATTCATTTGGTTTAATTGTGTTTGCGTTTTAATTGTTCAACTCTTTTCAGCTCAATTCAATTTGATTTAATTAGGCCTGTGTTCATGAATGCAAACCGATTATCTGGAGCTTTAAATGGTTTTGACATTTAATTCTCTCCTCTTTTCACAAATAAATTGCCCACGGGGATTTTCTCGCCATCGTCGTGTGTTTATTTAAAGTTATTGAGAGAATTTTTCGTGCCTGCCGGATGTGATTATTATTAAAGAAGAGATTTATTTGCGCAATTCTAAATAATACATTATCATCAATGTATTTTTTGAAATGGTATTGAAAAAGAACAAAATAATATAATTAAAAGCTTATCAACAAAATAAATTGCATTCTCACTTTAAATAAACCCTGAAGTATTCAATTTATAAACAACAGTTTGTTTGTATAATTTATCTAATCCAAGAGGCTTTATCAGAGGGGGAAAACCTCAGAACCTGATAAGACTTCCACCACAATCACAACCAAGTAAAATCTAGTTCCAAACCTTAAACGATTCTCAGCCCCTTAAAAATTACAACACACACACACATTTTTAATGAATGCTAATTAAACACTCCTAAATCCAAAAACGGTAACGTTTTATTGCGGTTTCTTTCTGGTCAGACGGTGGGAAAAGGGAAAGTGAACCGCAGCTGTTGGCCAACTTGATTTAAGCGCTTTTCAATTGGGTCTCAGCATTACGCATACGCAGCGTGTTACCATCGTGGCGATAAGATAAGAGTTCACTTCTGCTGCTAAACACAATTTATTGTAATGTTTTTGGCTGGTAAATCACACGAATAGACCACAATTGACCACTGTCTTTTCACAACCATTATCGTCGTTATTGTTTTATCGTTCTGCCATTCGCCATTCACTTGTTCTCATTATATTGCATTTACATTTACATTTACCGTTTTGTCGATTATAACGACTGTTGCTAACACGATTTTTGTTGGATTACAAACGCTGCCCGTGGCAGCCGCGCTTTGCCACCAAAAAGAGCGTCGACTGTTTTGGTGGCTCGTGCTTTTTGGGCCAGGCTAAGACGGAAAATATGACGGAAAGACGAGACACGCGGCAAACGGCGTCGCATCGACAAATAGCCAAAAAGCGCAGCGGTCGCCTATATTTTATGCTGCCGATTCCGATTGGATTCCAACTGGTATAAGAGTTGCGTTCGAGGCGGTTCGAAGCGGTCCGAACGCAACCTGTTCGAACCGCCCATCTTCTTCTGATTAGAATGCGTCTTCCAACTTGATTAAATTACAACTTTTGTTTTTGATTGCTTATAAGAGGACTTTTGGCAGCCAAGTTTTAGACAGCTTTTGCAGTGTGGTACACGGAAAAAAAATTATATACAAGGGTGTCACAGAAACCGGCGACGGAGTTGGGGACGTTTGTTTTTATAACGAACCCATCAAAACCGTAGGTGTCACAGAATTTATAGAGTTTTATAGGAGTTTTGGAGTAACATTGCTCTGATTTTGGGAACATTTGCTTTAAGGTCTACTATTCGGTTGGTTTAAAATCGTGTACTTGAGTTTTAAACGGTTTCTGTGACATTAAGGTTTGCTTTTGGGGGAAAATTTGGTTAAAAGAGATCTCTGTCACAGCCCCGATTTACGATATTTTTTCAAGTGTACATATTTCAGTCGGATTGAGGTAAAGTTGATGGACAGCAAGCAGAATACGCGGTCTGTGGCTGCCTTCAGTTTTATGAATTTAAATTAGCACTCCTTTGATATCAAGTGTTTACTTGTTGTGCATTATATTCAACCATTTATAATTCGCTCACTTAATCATTTTTGCATAAAAACCACTTTGATAAAAAGACTTTGGTCGTATGCAAATACAAAAAAGTGTAGTTTTGATTGCATTTTTTTAATATTTTTATGGAATTAGACATTTTTTCTACAAACTATGTAAAACCATTAACATAATGATGCGTATTGAACCTTAATACAGACTTAATACGTAAACAAATTAAATAAATATTTATATATAAACTTAATTCAAATTATTCTTGCTTTATTAAAGTTTTTTTCACTATTTGAAAATTATACTGTACAACATTAGCAGTATGCTTTGTTTAATGGCTTTCAAAGCTTCAATTTAAAATAATTAATATTTCAAAAGTTTCTATTGGGCTTGGCTTTTTGTTTGTTTGAGCATAAATAAAATATTTTGCAAACTCCAATTTATGGCTGTGGTCTCGCTTACTTTTTGCCTGATTTACATTAAGCGAAGTTTAATTTTATAGCTGTGTTTCGCTTTTAATGCGATTCTCTCGGTTTGGATTTTTAAATGCATCTAATGAAATATTCATTTAAATTGCAAGAACAAATTAAATTATGCATATTTTTAACTTTACCATGGCAACAATGGTAGTAGCGCAGATTGCATTTTTATTTTTCCATCTGTCTCACATGCACATTCTGTAAAAAAGGTGTTTTTTATTTATAAATAGCGAATGTGGGGCAGTCCAAAAAGGGATGTCGGACAATAGGAAGGATGGACAAGTGGGTTCTCCCAGTTCTACCGACCACTCCGCCCCATTTAAATTGGCTTAAAAACTCAACGAGCAGGCAACAAAGTCATGAATATGCACACATCCATCGGGCGAAGGGAACGGAAAGGAACTGAAGAATTCTCGAATAATTACACAAATACAAATGCACAGAATGCTCAGTTGGCTGTGTGCGTGCGGGTTTTCCATTAGGCGTAATTAGAGCATTTAGCATCGGGGAAAAAGTTAAGAAAAGCCAACTAACAGCAGAAACTGACAGATTGGGCTGCATATGTATGTGGGACTCGGATACCGTTAGCTGGAGTTGCATGCCGCTCGTACAAATATATGTATATTTGCACAAACGCATCATTGCTCTTCTACCACTCAGACAATTAACTTAAAGTTGGCAAAAGCTGCAGACGGCAGCTGTGTTGGCTTGTTTTTCCGCAAGATCTAGTTCATTATTTATGGAATCTAAAATTTGGGAGAATCTATTTAGAAACCTAAAATTGGATATAAAGTTCTTCAAAAACTTACAACTCTTAAAAAACTACTTTCACATTTTTAATTTTTATGTAATAATATTTAATCAATACATTAACAGTATGAAGCAAAGATCGTTAGTAAAAGTCTTTTAAATATAAGAATACTTGAGCTTTTAACTTTTAAAAATTGATAGTACGCATTTATATATTCGTTTCTAAAATTAATGAGGGTTAACTACTTGACAAACAAATTTATATTATTAAAATTTTTTTGAAAATGTATTGAAATTTATAAAATAAAGCGTTAAAACCACTTTGAAGAAGGCATCTTTCAAGTACGTTAGGAACCAGTTCCAAGTGGCTGCACCCAACACTTTGTGTATTTCGTAGCCACATCCTTGTCTCGAATCGACTTTCAGTTCAAGTACGATAATTAAAAGTTGGCTAAATGTTGCATGAGTTGCAGCTTCCTTGAGATGGTACTCGTTCGCCTCCCACTGCCCCCCTTTTAGCTACAGATTCTGGTCCTTTTGCTCCTGATGCCTCCTTCTCCTTCCTCTTCCACGTTTTTATTGCTGCCTGGCCACATCCACATCCATTTGATTGCACACCATTTGCCACTAGAGTGTGTGTGTGTAAGTGTAGGTTTGGGGTGTCTCACCTCAGTGTTGAAGGCAGCTGAATCTCAACTGCATTGCACATTTAACTGTCATCTCGTTTCCTTCAGTCGATATGTGAGTATACACTTAGATAAATAATGAAGTATGAGACTTAATACAAGCAGCCTTATATTTTGTATCAAACTAAGTATAACCTTTTTTAATTCAATCAAATTAAGATGGTTATGAGATGCACGATCTCTGATAAATTGATTTTTTAAAATACATATTGATACAATTGACAATACATTTTCGAACTTCATTTTTTTCAGTGCACCTCTTTTCTATTTCTCCTTTTTTCCCCTCCCTCGTATCCTGGAAATCAAAGTGTAAATGTATTTTGTCAAATGCTGGCTGAAAAGTTTCCTGTTCTCGCTGTCAGCTTCCTCGCCTTTATCGCACCCCTTCTGCCATCCTGCGGAAATGTTGAAAATATTGTAAGGAGGCGTGATGCTGCCGCAAATTAATGCATAATTGCATTAGTCACTTCATTTGTGGCAAGTGCTGCAGGAAGTCTTGCTTGCAACCGCCGAAATTCGTTGCAATTCATATTAAGTGGATGGGCGTGGGATGGAAAATGAAAACGGGGTGAAAGCAGGTGGAAATCAGAGGGTTCTGTGAGCGTGTGCTTTATGTCCTGATGACAGACGTTGCCAAAGGAGCTGATAACCGGAATTAAGCAATAATGCAAGGACGAGATTTATTGCCATCTGAAGAGGACTTAAGAATGTGGTGGCTGTGATAAAAGAGTTTCCTGACGATAAGAGGCTGAGTGATGCAAATGGTCTACACTTTAGCATAAAATGAAAGCAATTTTGAATATTAAGGGATTAGTGTAAGCTGATTAGTTTGTATTTTATGGAAAGACTTGTGAGATTCCGTTCGTTAAAGTTAATTAAGGTTGTTTCCATCATACACATTTGTACTCCATTCTTTTGACATAAGGAGATTACAACTAATAATACATTTGATTACTTAACTATACTTTAATATTCACAGATGTTAAATGGCAAATACAATTAATTGTATTTCTCGTTTGTGCATTATGACATTCAAAATATTTAAGTCCTAAGTCTACTAATTTAAACGAAATAAACTGCAGCAATGCTATTTTCAGGGAATCCCTGAAATGATTTCCTTTTTTATCCAAAAGCCTATTATTATGGTGTTTTTTTTCAGATAGTTATGATATTTTGACAGTAAAAGTTTTTCCAATATTTTTCTTTGGGGCTAAACTCTCTTTCTCTTTGAGTTTGTTGCACTTGCAAAGCCGGCCTTGGTCCTCTCTCTCGGATTTCCTCACCGTAACCCTCGTTCTCTCACATACTCTCTGAAATTCTATACTTTTGAGGCAAGGGTGGTGCTCTCCCGCTATTAACGGTGGCCAAAACTTCTCGCTCTTTTTCCCATGGGCTTCATAACAAACTGTCCGTCAGCTGCTCCATCCGCCATATAAATATATATCTCCGCACTATATATCTATATAGCACCACTGTTGTTTTTGCTTTCGGCACGCGCCTCTTTCGACTTTGTTTGTCTGCCTTCGATTTTTAACAAACAAACTGCACAAGTGCAAATTGCAAAATGCAGAATACTAAAAGCAAACGCAAACACAAACAAATGCAAATGCCTTAACATTGATTAGTTGCAGGTTTTTGCTTACACTAAAAATACGCTGTGAACACGATATTTTATCACTTCTTTTATGATTAATGGATTTATGATTTTTGACTATTGCTTGCGTTTTCACATATTGGTTGTTGGTATTAAATGCACTTTGGTGTTTTGGTGTTTGCTACGTGGTTTGTACAAGGCGTGTGTACAAAAATATATATACGCTTAGTTATGAGTAATTTGTTAACATCGAGTTATTAAATTAATTAATTTATCATTTATTTAGTTGCTACAACGCGGCGACTTTCGTTTCCCGTTTCGTTCGACAGACTGAACTTTTTTATCCCGTTGTCTGTTTTGTGTCTGTTTCGGGTTGTTTTCCTCCCTCATTCTCTGTTTTTTTGTTGCTTTTTTGGATGAAGTAACTTTTCTTCTTCTTTTTGTCGCGCATTTCCGTATTTTGTTACCCTTTAGCTTCCTACTCTCTGGTTCTCCCGCAGTTTTTTGGGGTGGCTTTCTCTTGGGAGAGAAATCTCTCAATCTTGTTCTCATCTCTTTTGCGCATGCGCAAACTTTCATTTGGATTATTCAAAATGCAAATGCCGTTACAAGTGGGTTCTTAACCTTTGACAATTGGAACAAGTGTTTAAGCATTTTAATACATAAAAATTGTTTAATCTTTAAAGAATTAGAAAGTTATTAATTAGAATTATAAAGTTATCTTGAAAAATGGTTTCATGTTTGAAAATATTGATGTCTAAAAGTAATTATCTTAAATCATTTGT